TTTTTAACAAACAATTAGGTAAGTAAATTAAATTACTTAGGAAAAAATGGAACAGTTAGTAATTTTTAACAATATATACAATTAAAAAAAAAAACAACAAAATAGTGGACGAACTTTACAAAGGCAAACACATAAACTTCAGGGGAAAACAACAACTCACCTGCACTGCAGCCACGGCGCCCAGAATTTATGGCTTGCCAAAAATACACAAACCTGAAGTCCCCCTCCGTCCTATTATCTTTTCTATTATGGTCCCCTGTTACAACCTGTCCAAATACATTGGCGAGATGTTACAAAGATTAATTTCAGAAAAATTTAACGTCAAGAATGCTTTTAATCTTAAAGACAAGTTAACCAATATATATGTGTGTGATGAAGATGTATTAGTTTCGTTTGATGTCTTTTCCCTATTTACAAACATACCAACGACATTAGCTTCGAGAATATTATGAATAAGTGGGACCTAATTCAAAAAAAAAAAACTTCTATTCCAAAAAATAAATTTCACGAAATAATAGATTTTTGCCTAAAGAATAACAATTACGTTACGTTCAGCAACATATACGCTCAAACTTTTCGCATGCCCATGGGCAATCCCATTTCTCCAACAATCGCTGATATTATTATGGACAACCTACTGGAGAACACCATCACGGAGCTGAAAGGAAAATTTAATATTAACATCAAATTTATAACTAAATATGTGGACGACATCTTCGCTATTATCAAACGTAATGACGCGAATATTATTCTAGATCAGTGTCCGCCAAACACTTTCCTGGGAAACGAACTATGTATATACGGCCTCACATGTACACAATCGGCTTCTTACACGTACACAATCCGAACGTCAACAGAAAGAGTAGCAGAGCAACAAATTTTATTTAGTTGCATGCAAACAATAGGCGAAGCAGGTTGATGACGCATTTCCGTGCATTACCACCAACCCATTCTCATTTTTTATTTCATAACTAATACATTCTCATTTTAAGACTTCTCTTTTTGGCGGACACTGTTCTAGATACCCTTAACAATTTTCACAATAAACTCTAATTTACCATGGAAATTGAGAAAGACACAAAAATACCATTCTTAGACGTATGCTTTTACCGAGAAAAGCGAAATCTCCTTTTAGACTGGTACTCAAAACCAACCTTTTCTGGGCGCCTGATAAATTATTTTTCATCACAACCGAGAAAATATAAAATTAACACCGCAAAAAACTTAATCCACAAAGTACTGACGATAAGCCACACACTGTTCCATTACACTAATATAGAGAAAATAACCAATATCCTAAAAAGCAATAATTATCATGTCAAATTAATACACGAACTCATAAATCAGGAAACAATAAAA